GATTTTTTACCAGATAAGCACCAATCGCAGTCGGTCGTGTGGGGATCACTTTTCAGCGATACCTCAACACGCTCGTATGAAAAGCCGTCTGTGTTTATCAAATTTATCGTTGCTATTTTTGAACATAATTATTAGTTATTAGATTTGTTGTTTTTAGAACCGATTCCACCATTGTGTTAAACGAAGTTTAAAATGACATTTTTACATTAACAGTGTCATTTTAATCTCCGTTTAACACAACGGTGGAATCGGCCCTTACATAGTTACGTTGATTAGTGCATTAAGTGGACGTTTTGTTTGTATTTTTTTGCCACTTTTATAACACTACGTCTGTTCTGGTTCTTCAGAAATTGGTTGAAAACTGTCCAAATACTAGCTGACCAGTGGAAAGTTTAAAAGTTTTACGCGACGAATAATTTGATATTGAACTATTCCACTGGATTTCGGATGATTTACGTGTGTCTTTTTATCCAACTGTTGCAGCAACGTTGGCATCGGTGCGGTATGTCAACTGTTATTTATTTCAACGGTCAACCAAAAATGTATCGAATCCAACACAAAACGTTCAAGGCCGCATCGGTGAAATAACGGTTGCAACAAACCGGTGGAAAAAAAGACACACGTTTTGCAACACATCTTGAAGAAACCAGAACAAGCCTACTATCCTTGCCGTGATTTCGATTTCCCCATAGAAATGAGCTGACACATTGCTCAGTAAACAAGCTAGCCAATAATAGAAACGAAGAAGAAGCTTACCTTCTTTTCTTTGTTTCTAACTTCATACTAAGTTTTTCCCGCCAAACTATTATTTTTGTGTATTTACTACTTACATTCAGGCAAATTATTTGATTCAAAATAATAATGGATGTTGCGGGTATTAATATTGTCCAAAGACAACACCGTGACGAAATTGGGATAAGGTGCCAGAAGCTATTTCAGGATTTTTTAGAAGAGTAAGTAAATTTCTTAGCGAATTGTTTTCATTATAACGTGTTTTCTCTTAAAGGTATAAAGAAGAAGGCGAACTTAAGTATTTAGATCCAGCTTTGGAACTTCAAAACGAAGAACGCAGCACTATTGAAATAAGTTTCGAAGATGTTGAAAAATATAATCAGAATCTTGCCACTACCATCATTGAGGAATATTTCAGAATTTATCCATTCCTTTGTCAGGCCGTAGCCAATTTCGTTAAAGATAGAGCAGGACTTAAAACTGAAAAAGATTGTTATATTAGCTTCATGGATGTGCCAACCAGGCACAAAGTTAGGGAACTTAAAACTGATAAAATTGGTACTTTAGTGAGAATATCTGGACAAGTTATTCGTACTCATCCTGTACATCCTGAATTGATTTCCGGTACATTTAGCTGCGTGGATTGCCAAACCATTATTAAAAATATTGAACAACAATTCAAGGTAAATAAAAAAAATTAACATTTATTTTTAACCACAATATAACCATACTTATTTTGAACAAGTTATAAAAGTAATTTTCAAAAACGTGCAGATACCCTTAAAAATTGAGTTTTTAATTTTCTCATAGATCATCAGATCCTGGCCAATTGTTATTCCCTTTCTAATAAAAAAGAATCCTAGAAAACAAGACATCCTAGTAAAGAATTATCGATGAACATACATGAACAAAAATATTCCGACGAATTGAGAACCTCTTCCTTTTTTGAATTCTGTTAAAAATGTATTTCCTTAACAGGAGAATGTTTTTTCACATGATTTTGTACTTTTCACTACAAAGGCTTATTTTGAGGCTATAAAATAATACAAAGGGGATTTGAATTTGGGAGGCATTCATGATTTTTATGCACTTATACAGTAATGCCTCGCTCTATAAAGTCAAAACTATTATATTAGAAAAAGGCAACAATTTAAAATTAATTTCAATTATATAGGGTTCTCCAAGAAAGTGATACATATCAATGTTAGGTTTTTTTAAAATGGGACCCCATTGTATTTTATTTTATATTTAAATTGCCTGCCATTTTTTCCATAAAATAATATCAAATACTTAGTATGAGATTATACAAGGTATTTCACTTGCTATAACCAATTTTATATGAAAATCGTATTGATTTTAATGACCTGTGTACTGCACAAAAAAAAAACAATTGAAAACCATTTTTTTACTGTGAAATATTTTCGATGTTAATCAAAATGTATGCCATCGCAATACTTTTTTTAATTCATAACAAATTTGTATAAAGTGAGTCAAAACTCAAAAATCATTTAATACCTATCTTATTCAAAGTTTATTAGGTCTGTATCTGTAATATGTGGAGGGTGGGTTAACCCACGGCACCTAGGCCTCAGTAGGCCTATTGTGCATAGGTCTATTAGGTGTTATTATAACAGATTATATTTAATTAGAAAATGTTCTCCAAGTAGCTTCGAATAATATTTATGGAGATCTAAAGGTGATTTTCAAAGTCCCAACTCACATTTCTAAGCATTTCTTAGGTAAAATTCAAAATACTCATTGACAACTAAAGGCCATATTAAAAAACTGACTAATTTTTTTTAAAAACAAATATCCCAACACTAATGATGTACTGGCGTTTTAAAGTCAACTTAAAAATATAATAAACTTTGAATAAAGTAGGTGTAATAATGGAACGAGTCTATGATTGATTGCTATTGGTATTTAATGTTTAACTGAATGTTAAAATCCTATTAGAATTTGTCAAAAACTTATTCAGTTGATAATAAATTACAGCTGGTTAAATTCTGATTATGAATTAACAAACAGTTTATCTCCTGTTAACCAGTGCCCAGTATTTTGTGAATTATCTTTTTTGTCATTTAAATTTAAAAATTTCCAATAATTATTAACTTTAGGTATAGGGACTAAAACTTTAATTAAGGTACTTTTAAATGGTGTTCAATTAAAAAAAAAAAGAAAATTATGTATTTGAGTTTTGACTCGCTCTGTAAGAATTTGTTTGAATTGAAAAAAGTAATGCATTGGCATAAAATTGAAAACCTTTTATGGCAAAAAAGTGGTTTTCAATCGTTTCTTTTGCAGTATGCAGGTCATTGAACTCAAAAATCTTATGCTATTTGGTATTGTTATAATGGGAAAAGAAAGGTAAATTGAAATATAAAATAAAATACAGGACGTCCCATTTAAAAAACCTAACGTTGATATTTATCACTTTATTGGAGAACCCTGTATGATTGAAATTAATTTTAAATTGTTGCCTTTTCTGCATCTCGCTGTAGAAACAGATTTTAAAAATATTTGGCTCTACAGACTGAGGTGTTACTGGCGGCGGTGGCTCAACTTGTCTAGTTTTGAAATTAAAAGTTGTGTTATCTTATCCCCAACAACACTATTATTCATAATGGAATTTTAATCAAAATAGTTCCATAATTTTTTGTTTCTTTTTGCTAATTATGTGAGAAATTTCGTCAAATAGTTTTTAGTTTAATTAAATATTGTGCTATGCACAACTCTGTTATTAATAATAGGATTTCAATGAAACTAACTTCATAATTTTGTGTTTTTTTGTGAAAATTATAAAAAAATTTATCTGTTCACTGCCAGAAACTTCAGGTGGATTTAAGAAAATTATGTTATTGGAACACAAATGTATTGAATTCAATAATTTATAATTTCTGGGTAATAAATCAATTCTGAAAAACAAAAAAACTTTGATAATACTAAAAGTGAACAGCAGATATGTTGAGGGATGTGTATTTACAACTGTTATAAATTAATTGATTGTTTAACATACTATTTAACTAATAGGCATTCCAAACAATGGGATCTTTTGAGAGTTAAAGTGAAATATGACTTAATTTGTTAATATGTAGGATTTTTAGTAACATACTAGAGTAGAACTACAATTAATTTATAGGATATCTACTTTTAGTGTAGTTTTTTTAATATATAGAATAATTATATAAAAGTAAAAATTGGTATGTCTCAACTTTCCATTAAACAGAATAAGACTTTCAGGTAGACTGTTTTTTTCATTTCATTGTTTACATACAAATTATTTCTTATTCTAGTATTATACTGATGAATTTGATTATTAAAAAGTACAAACTTGTTGAAATATGATGGTAACAGATTAAGTAACATTTTTTTAATGTATACAATACAACAGTTTAGAAGGAGTATAATGTAATTATCAATATGCGGACTACAGTACTTCAGCATGGAGATTGACACAGCATCAGAACCCATGGCATTAGACTTGATATTATGGAGTAGTTTATTAAATTCTCTTACAGTTATAAAATCAAATGCTAACTAGTTTGTTTCCATACAAGGATGTGTAGAATTATTATAATATTCTAATAGGTTATCATCTACTACATTATCAACAAAAACAGAACAAAAGTACCTATTTATTTCTTCGGGTTTCTGCAGCGAAATAGGTAGGGTTATTTCTTGCTTTCTGGACTGAAGTTTATTTAGACCCTTCCATAAATGCTTGGATTTATGGGAATTAAACAGGTTGTCAAAATATACTTATCCCAATCAGTGTGTAATCTTGTTTGCTTAAATTTGCTTAAAGCAAAATTTCTTTCCTTAATTAGTAATTTGATTGGATAAGTTAACCAGGGTGCATAAGGTTTAGTAATAGGTATAGTTTTTAATGGTGCATATTTATCAAACAAGAGAATAACTTGTTCTGTGAGAAACTGCCCTTTATCATCAATATTGAAAATTTTATTTATTAAATCATTGTAAAAACTGTCATAGTCAAAATTTTTAAAATCTCTAAACTTGAAAGGTTTCATTCTTATTTTTAAAAATTCCAAACTACAGAAAGAGTACCCATAGTCAGAAAAATTTGTTTGATTTACACCTGGTTTTTTTACTAAACTACAATCACTTATATAAATAGGATCAAGCAGAGTCATCAAGGTGGACGTTATTCTAGTTCTAGTAGATTGATATAAGTCGTACACATCAAAACAAGATGGATTATCATTTGTCAACAAATCAATATTTATGTCACCTACACAAATAATGTGATCAACTGTAGGCATTTTTGACAAAGTAGAGTCAATACTATCAATATAAAGGGACACATTACCTTTAGGTGGTCGATATATAATTTCAATGCAAACGCGAAAACCGTTTATTGCAAATTTAATCCACATTTCCTCACAGTTTAAGTCAGAGGAATTAAATTCAACTAATTGTAAACCAGTAATATAATTATTTAAATAAAGACTAACACCACCACCTCTAGATTGTCTATCAAGTCGGTAAAAATTGAATCCAGGAATTAAAATGGTGTTTGTATCAATATTTGCAGACAACCATGTTTCAGTAACAGCAATACAGTCAAACTCATTTACCAAACTCAGAAATTCATCAAAAGTTGCCACAAGAGAACGAACGTTCAAATTACAAAGTCTAAACATTTTAAACATAAAAATTAATAAAAAAAAATTGTAAAAAGTACTATTCTAGATAGCTTATCTTGCTCTTTAAAATGTCTACATGGAATTTAAAAGTTGGGTCCAGTGGCGTGGTTCACTACAATAACTGGTATCATTAATATTAGATTAAGAATATCAATGGCCCTATAACACTTCTCTGAGGAACGCCATGTACTACATCAATTGATGTTAAAACAACCATTAATTTTGGTTACCTGTTTTCTATCTCTAAGATCATCACTGATCCAATCAAATACTTTGCCTTTCATGCTATAGTTTTTTTAATTTTTTGAGTAATACCTATTTCATGATTGACAGTTTTGAAAGCACGTTTGAGGTCTAAGAATATCGCTATAGTATACATGCCTTTACTCATCTTATCTTTCCATTCACCAATGTGAAAATAGACACTTTTTTCTTAATTCATTTCCATTTATTTAATAAAGAGGTCTGTAAGGTTTTGTTAGTTTTTAAACTCTTAAAAGATTCAAAGTTTTGTGTATTGGCCTATTTTACTCATAACAACCAATTCATAGACGTAATACTTAAAAAATAATTATTTTTTGACATTAGCCATTCTTGTTTAACTTATTTAAAATGGCATGCTAAAAAATACTTCACTAAAACATTTTAAACATAAATCCAAAAGTAATATATTATTTTCTTTTTATTACATACCTTTTTATCCTTATTGTGAATTAGGCTATGCTCCTGTAACGCCATTTCATTTTGAAATATTTTACAGTATACAAATCCGACAATCTGCCGAAATCCTGTTTGCAGTAATCGCCGAAAATTTTTATTAGATATAGACAAATCACGGTTTGTAGATTTTCAAAAAGTTCGAATTCAAGAAACGCAAGCGGAACTACCAAGAGGATGCATCCCGAGGAGTGTAGAAGTCGTGCTCAGAGCCGAAAACGTTGAAACAGTTCAAGTAAGATAAACATATTTTATTTTAAATATATTTTTGTTTCTGTAATGATAACATTTATTGTGTATTTTTTGCGAAAAAAAGCCAAAAATCAGCATAGTCGAGTTGCCTGGTTGTAGGATCGCCAAAAACAAATTCCATATCTAAAATGTGTTTCTATACTAATGAAAAATAAACACCTTTAGCTATTTCAAAGTTTAGAATCTTAGAAATTTTTCTTATTAAATGATGAAGTTTATGTGTGATTCAAATTTTAAATTCTGATCACTGTAAATTCCAAGAAATTTAGTGTATTAGATTTTGTACGTTTTGTTGATTAAGAACAACATCCTTTATATTGCATTTGAAAGTTGTCAAACTAGTTTTAGACACATTGAAGCTTAATGGGTTAGAATCACACCCCTGTACTAATTTTGTTAGTTAGAGTGTCTTCATTTTTATCTGCCACATTAGGGTCGTATCTTCAACAAAAATTAATTTAACAAAGATTAATGTAGGACAAAAAAAAGTAGCGGCCCCAGAATAGAGCCTTGAGGTACACCACTGCCAACAAGACAAAATTTTGAGGTATCATTCTTAACCACTACACTTTGACAACTGTTTGACAAACAAAATTTCAACCATTGCAAACCTATATCTCTGAAACCATATTTTTCCAATTTACTTATACTATTCTGTGATTTACACAGTCAAACGCCTTAGATCACAGAATATCGCTACAGCAACCGACTTTTCATTTAGTTCCAAATATAGTTTCTCTAGAAAAGAAGTATTTTAATTGGGTCTAACGAAAGAAGTGAATATTTAAGAAATTACATATGACTCTTTAGCAGTTTTTCAATATTTTTTTTACCAATTTAGGCAGCAGAGATGTAGACCTATAGTTATCAGAAACATTTTTTTCAACCCCTTTAAAAATAGGTATCACCTTAGCATAACATTATTTGAAAGTAAAAATATTTTAATTGAGATACCTTTTTCCCAGCATGCATCTTTTTTATTTTTTATATACATTACTATAACTTTAATTTCATAGGGTCTAAAACTAAATATATTTGATATCTTCTCAAAAAACACAATAAAACGTGCACTGTCACTTGACGCCGTCAACTAAATGTCTTATATTTATATTCATTGCCAACGAAAATACTCAAAAATTTAAATTTTACACTTTTCCTTATAGAGATCGATGTCTTCACTTGTTTTAGGTAATTCATTCGTATCAATCATTTTTTTTTTATATATATTTTATTACTTAAATTTAAGGCTACAAATTGTACCAGCATAAAAACAACGGATTATTCTTTCCTACAAATTTATATGCAGTTTTAGATGGTACATTTTTGTAAAAAAAAACATTCTAGGCTGGTGACCGTTACGATTTCACTGGAACCCTCATAGTGGTTCCCGATGTTGGAGCTCTCGCCTTACCTGGTGGCAAAACCCAAATTGGAGCAAGAAGTAGACGTCCGGAAGAATCGGAAGGCGTTAGAGGACTGAAGGCCTTAGGTGTTAGAGACCTTCATTATCGTATGGCATTTTTAGCCTGCAGCGTTCAACCTACCATTGCAAAATTCGGCGGTATTGAAATGCCGTTGGGGGAAATTACACCTGAAATTATGAAACAGCAAATGACGGAAGGAGAGTGGACGCACATGTACGAGATGTCGCACGACAAGAACTTGTATGTTAATATGATTAACAGCTTGTTTCCAAGTATACACGGGAACGAGGAGGTGAAAAAGGGGATTTTGCTTATGCTGTTTGGAGGAGTTTCGAAGACTACGATAGAAGGTATTTTTTTTCTGTGCATAGTATTATAAAACTAAGTATTGAAACTATTCTATTCTATTATATTATATAATCATTTTGATCAATATTTCGCGGCGTTAATATATTTATTTTGTATTGATTATAACAATCTGATGACTTTTGCTCTATTATATCATTAACTAATTGATTTGCTTTATTAAATAGTATTTAAAATATTGTATGAACTATTATAAATTTGTTCTGATCAACATTTCAGTACTTATTTTTTTTTTTTATTATTTTATTTTTAGTAAAATCTAGTTTTTTATAGGATAAACAATTATAAGTAAAATAATAATTTATCAATGTCGCAAATTTCATTTATGATCAGAACTACTCGAATTGTATAGTATATTGTTTCTACGAATCACAAACTAAAGAAAATCTACATTTTAAAAAGTAATTTGGAGCATAATAAATAATAATTAACAATTTGAATTTCTGGATTTTAACCATTTGTAAAATAAATTAAAATTGGTTCAACCCGGATTTAAACCCCGGACCTTTTGCTCGAGAACTCATCACTTAAGGACGCCACAGTACTTCCGGTTTTTGATTCAATGATTTAAATGTGAATTTTAGTTAATCCTTTCCTACGTAGATGTAGCTACACTCTTTAACCTCCATATTTTGTCCATTATATCGCAAAAATCGGCCAGCTAAATAATATACGCTACATACTTCTATTTTATGTTTTCAAATAAGTTGGTCTGGTAAAAAAGATTTGTCAACACCGCATATTTATAGAAATATATTATTAGGCAGTCTACCAATTCTTTAGCGAGGTTTTTCTCGTATACGGTGAATTAAATATTTAGCTGTCTAATTAGGGTCGCAGCAGGTATGACATAATCATATGGATAATCATAAGAATTTGTTTGGAAATTGGAATCTTGAATTTTTGGGGGTGAAGCAGTGCATCGAGGCAAGAAATTTCACATTCTTTTCATACATAGCTCCCTTGATTTTTCCTAGCAAATAAATTATTCTGCCAAAATTTTAAATTAAAATATTCTAAAAAGTATTATTTGTAATTGTTTAATATGGATGTACTTAAAAAAGTGTGCTCTTTCATAATACTTTACAATAAATGCAGGGTACCATTGAAAATTTTGAGATAAGGGTAGGTTGATGCAAAGGGTGATAAAAAATATGTGGAAGTACGATCCCTATTAGAGTTGTCAAGGTTAGTTCTTTTGAGAGAGCGCTCATTTTCGTTCATTTAACCTATCTGAACTAGTTCTTTTAGTTCGTTCATAGTAAAGATATGTTTACCCGTTATTTTGTAATTGTTTGCAAACCGAATTTCGTAACTGTTACTTTGTAACATATTTTTTAATAAAACATAAAAACGTTATACAACTCAACATAATCATTTTTAATAAACATAAAAAAGAAAATACATATCTAATAAAATAAAATATAATTAATCCTAAATAAAAAAATTAATTTCTAACAAAAATAAATAAACAAATAAAATCCTAAATAAAAACAAAATGCATTTCTAAAAATAAAATATACATCTAAAAACAAAACAAAAATTCTAAAAAAAAATCCTAAAAACAAAATATATTTCTTAAAACATAACTAAAACAATAAAGAAATTCCAACCGACACAAAATAAAAAAAAAATTCATAAGTTATGATTTAAAAATATTAATTTTTCCACATTTTTTGATTTTAATAAAGTTCTTCTTTCATTTATGATTTGTCCTGTGCCAGAAAATATTCTTTCGCATGGCACAGATGTAGCAACAATACAAAATCTCTTGAGCAGATAGGCATATATATGTGGATATATAAGTTTCCTCTCTGCCCACCATTCCAAAGGATTTGTTTTTCTATTTAAATAGTCTTCGCTTAAATATTTGTCAACTTCTCTAATGCCAGTGGCTAATTTATTTTCAGGTGTCGCTTTTGTTATAATGATATCGTCATAATCGTCCCAAATACTACTATTTGAAATATTAGCATCAGCACTGGCAGTGTTCGTAACATCTGCTAATGGCGATTTAGCAGGATCAGGTATTGTTACATGGCCGACTTTATTTCTAAGTCCTTGTACAGCTATTTCAAAGGCCTGTTCATTTTTGAAACCAAGCTTTTTAAATCGCGGATCTAATACTGTGCACTCCGCAAAAAGCACATTGTTCTCTATTTCACAAAATCGCTTGTTCATTTGTTGCTTCAAGACATCCCGTAAAGCAATTACTTTTACATGCACGGGTGAAGTTTTTGCCAGGAAGCCTTGTAGGAGTTTATTGAAAACTATTACTTTTGATAAAGTAACATTCTTCTCAGAACTTATTTCTGCAGTAACTTCGTAAAATGGTTTAAGAATGGGTATTACCTCCTCTATTATTTGCCAGTCCAGTTGATCTAGCGAAAGATCGCTTCTCAAGAGCGCGATAGTAGTTATTATCGCATCTTTTAACTTTAAAATTCGATCCAACATATCAAAGGTTGAATTCCATCGCGTTGGTACATCTTGTTTTAATTTTAAAGAAGGCAACCCCATTCGATTTTGCGTGTCTTGTAAGCTTTGTAGAGCTTGACAACTCCTTTTAAAAAATTCTACAATAGCCTTAACTTTAACAAGGACGTCTGAAATTTCCTTGGTAGCCTTTTGCACCACCAAATTTAAAGAATGCGCAAAACACCCAATAGATCGCCATCCACCTAGCCTTACAGCTGCTAAAATATTGCTGGCATTGTCTGAGACAACAGCTACAATTTTGTACGAAATGTTCCACTCTGCCATTGTCTCCTTCAGTACTTAACACAGATTTTCACCCGTCTGGGTGTGGTTATATTTTTTACATTCAATTAAAGACGAGCAAAGATTGGTTTGCTCATCTATGTAATGTGCCGTGATAGCTATATAATTTTCATTGGTCCTAGAAGTCCAGGAATCCGTTGTTAGGCATACCGCTCTTGTTGTTTCAATTTTCACTTTTAATTTATTTCTTAATTCATTATAAGAATTCGTTAAAAAATTATTGGTTAAAGTTGTTCTTGTTGGAAGTTGATACCCCGGACAATGAGAAACCATATTAATTAACTTTTTGAATTCCGGCTCTTCCACTATTCGTAAAGCATGATGGCCTTTTGAAATCATTTTTATGACTTGCTTGTCGATTTCAGAATTTGTCACTTGAGTTGGTTTCAAATTTGAAGATGACGCTATATTTTCAAGATTTTGTCCACCTGTTTCTCCTATACTTTGCCGTTCTACACTTACTATTATTGCGGGGTGTTTATTTTTGATGTGCCTGCCTAGATTGCCAACTGACCCGCTAGAAATGCTTATGTACTGCAAACAATAATTACACTTAGCTCGTTTACCAGTTTCATCTTCAACGAAATGATTCCACAATACACTTAATTTTCTTTTTGTCGCCATCACTATCACTTAAAAATCCTAATTTATTAGCAAAGTAAATACCTCTGGTGATTCCCAGATTCAACAACAAACCGAGTGCATCAAATTATTCTAAGCGGTTAAAGCCCACCTCTACATAAGACGGCAGCAACCACAAAGCACATAGAGGTTCCACGTGAATGACCAAGGTCAAAACCGACAACTGACATTTTTTATGCTATTTGCTTCAAACTCTAGATGGGGCTACTGGTAAAATTCTGATTTCTTACTCCATTTTTAAGCTTTATGGGAGAAAAACTTAACCAAAGACTCCAAAGATGTGACGTGTATTTATTTATGTTCTTGGTTAGTCTCATTTTCCGTCTGATTTTAGTGATTTTTTGTTGGCTTTGGCTCTTGGTTTCTGTTTATAGTTTCGTCTTAGTTATTTGCAAAATTGTGATGTTTCGCTTTTCTATTTGCTACTGTGTTTTGCAATAATTTTGGTGCTACCTGTGGGTGCTACGTTGAAAACTTCGAGAAAAACTTCAATGATTCACCATGCGTCTGCATCATAAAAAGACAAACGGGTATAACAACTAATTGATAATCAATTTATCACTGGACTAGATTCCGAAATCATTTTTCACATAAGAGAGTAATACACAAAGCAGTTGAGTAATACCACCATCTGTATTTGGAAGGAAAATACCTATTTATCATTGAATGAATAGTTAAAAGGATTCACCTTTTAATACATTACCTATATTACTTTTGTCCTCGGTTTAAAAGACATTTATAAAATATATTATTTTAGTGTTAATAAAATGTAATATCCTAGTCTCTACTTCACATTTAAATTATTGATAGGTATTTTAAAGATTTGAGAGTAAGTATTCGTTAAATATGTATTTATTTTTATCTAATAATATTTATTTAAGTTATTAATAAACATATTTTAAGAATGTTCTATTTTATTATTTATTGATATATCGCTTATATTTATTTAATAATAATATGCAGAACCAACTCTTTACATCAGACCTCTGCTTATAACAAATTAATTCCTCAAATTTTGTATAATCGACCTAAATTATTTTGTAAAATAAAAGTTTCGAACTTACTAGTTCCATTCTTTATTTTATAAAATAATTTATGTCGAAATCATTTAAAACTACTACCTACTCCTAAAAATTACAATTTGAATTTACCGCCATCTGTCAATTGTCATTTTAGTTCCAGCTCCAAACACAAGGTGGCGCTAATTTGGTTTAAAAGATTAACATTGGCGTGGGGTCTCTAGAAGATACGTGCTTTGTGGCAGCAACTCTGTTCAGCTCGGAAGAACCGACTCACCCGAAGGCGACGCTCGTCCCTGAGCTGTGACCGATCGAAACGAACTAGTTCAGTTAGTTCATAGTTCTGGAACGGCTCTTTGAACTAGTTCGTTCATGAACTACGCAACTCTAATCCCTATGCACTGCTTCATATCTTAATAATTTAAAGTTTAAACAGAAATAAACTAAACCGAAGGGCGGTAGGGGTAAATATTTTTGTTGAATAAACACATGTCCGAAATACAGGGAATTTTAACCAAAAGTTATAGCATCTATTAGATATT